AGAGAGAGAGAGAGAGAGAGAGAGAGAGAGAGAGAGAGAGAGAGGAGAGAGAGACTCCAACTGTTTCTTACAGAGAAAAATGCATGTATGCGAAAGAAAGATGCCCTCCTGGTGTTCAATGGGAGATACCATTTAAGTAGTTTGATGTAATGTCTTGGATAGGGATTCCAAATGGACAACAACAACAGTTACAGCAGCAGCAGCAACAACAGCATTATAATGTTGTTGAGGCCAAGACGGGCCAAAGCTGCCAGCCTTGGCCAATACCCTAGGCGGCCTCCTAGACGGTGCCTTGGCCACCTAGCTGGGTGCCTAGAGGACCACCGCTTAGGTGCCTGCCTAGCACTAGGTGAGGCTCCTCAAGGCACCGTCTAGGGGTGGGCATATTTTTAAACATTGCAGAATTAGTTATGATTTTTGACTGCTTCCATGCTTTGATGTTACAGGCAATTAAGATACTGGATGATGAGATGCAGTGTGACATCATAAAGATTGGTAGCCTCATCAGGAATAAGGTATTCCTTTTGTTTTGTTTCCTTGGTTTCCTGTTCTTTGTTGTTGACTTGATCCAAATAATATGTAATGTGATCTGTATTTTGGTGAACCTATATTATTTTCAGGTTTGAACTTTCCATTAAGTGAATCGACTCTGTATTTTCTGAATATAAGTAGATTATGTTATTCGAGTGGATATATGAATCTACCAAGCTAAAAGAAACGAAATAGGAATGTATATGGAAATGGTTGTTGGGATAAATGAAGTTGAGCATGCATTTTGATACCCATTTGTAACACTTGCTATGAACATGTGCAGTTCCAGGGACCCTCAATAGCTGGTTCGTGGGGCAGATATGAGTTGGCATTCCTTTTTTGATTGTTATGTTACTTGGTATTCTTATTTTCAGCAGTCATAACCATGTCGAAAGGAAGAGTTGATTTGTTCATAAAATGGACAACCTATTTTGACATGGTCTATGAAATGTGAGACCTATGATTATATATAGAAAGTGAACAACCATATAGTCACAGATAATTTCTATAGCTTCTATATGGGGTGGGCAGAAGTATCATTTGATAGATGTAAACGAAGAAGACTGTACTTTGTGTATGCCTCTGTGTAGTTTTAATGGTATGCCTCAATTTGTAGTTCTAGTGGTAATTATTTTTTAACTCTGATATGTATATTTTTGTTGGTGGTTCTTTTCACAATGTAATATAAATTTTGTAAATTTTAGACTTTGTTTTGTCTCTTCATAGTTATGCATTTATAGGAGTGTGGAAAATTAACTAAAGAGTGCTATGCAGTCGATATAAGTTTTTATCTACTGTCCGAAGGGCATTGTCATTTTGAAATTCATTGATTTACTGAAGAGTTCTAGGCAGATGAAATGCATTTTCATAATTCCGAAACGCTTGTTGAGGGGCTAGATAGTTTGTTTAGATATATGGATTTGATGCTTGAACATTAGGAGACAATCCAAGTTAGATGACAATAGATATGACCAAGTCAATAAAAAAGGTTATTTACTTTCTGTCAACATTAAAAGTCTTTAAAAAAAATAACCAATGTGCACTCCAGTCAATATGACATGTATGGATATTGCTACATGGCAAGATGACTAGAAATGATGAAGAGTAATGTTTTAATATTATGGTAGGGCAGTGGTGAATTTGAATTTATGATTGACAATAATTTAGTGAAATGAAAAGAATTTTTTTTGGGATCGACAGGTCAAGTTAGAAGTTATCATGCAGTTAGGTATCTTATAATTGGGGTTAGTATCTAGCTATGTTACAGGGACATGAATACGAGTGTTAGTATTCCAGAATTAATACGTGTCAGAAATGCCAATCCTAAAATTGGCATTTCAGACATAATGCATCTGTGCATCAGTTGGGTTGGAGGTGGGATATTAAGTTTTATGAAAGACTTAAGTGAAATTTCATCAAAAGAAAAAGTTACGCTCGTGTGTTCGAGTTTCAGATGCCAGGTCAACTTGACTCATACATTGGCTATGTTTTTACAAATGAAAAGTAGGGATATACTGAAGTTTTCTTCTTTTATATAATTCTTTTTGATCTGTCTAACAAATTGTCTTTTCTGGGCTGGTAGTAATGTGTGTGCTTACTAGATGAGCTGGTTTGATTCCCATATTTGTCGCAATCTCCTTTTCTTTTTTTTTCTTTTTTTTTATTTTAAATTACATACAAATTTTTGATAATCTTACTGTGTATTTCTGAGTTTATTGTTTCACTCAGCAAGTTTATCCAGTGTTGGTCGTAACCAAGTCAGCCACCTATCTCAAGTTTTTTAACACAGGCATTATACATGTCACGTCTAATGTGTAAAAACCTGCAACTATTGGTTTCACCTAGACTGTGTTACGGGTAAAAATGCATGCAGTACTAGTCTTATGGCTGTCTTAGGTTACAAGTGATGTGGTATTACTTAGATGACTAGCTGGATTTGATACCCATCATACATTCCTCTTTGGGTTTGATCCCCAGTGGAGTTGGAATTATTATTTTTCTTGATCAGGAAAAGAAGGGTCTTTTGGCTGCAAATCATATATGAACATGTATATGATTTATTTAAATACGACATCCTGTGAATTCCAAGCTTATCTATATTTTAGGAATTGGGCTTGTGTTTGATTGGTCAAGATTGCTTGGGCGTGATTGGTTAGGTATTGACTATTGCAACACTATTCCCAAGTTCATTCTACCACTGAACTACCCAAATCAATGAAAAACTCACCTGTATGCTGGGTTGTGACATCTAGAACTATCACTTCCCTGGTGAGTTGATACTCATATGGGTGGACCTGGTCACAGTAGGAGCACTCAATGGTACGATTAATCTGTAAAGCTACTATGTTTACCAATTATATTTAACTCGCGTTATCTGCTTAGTCGCAATGGTTTAATTGCTCCAAATACTTTTTAATTGTTACAAAAATAGACCTAATTGCTTTTCTTAATGTGATTGTTGATAAAAAGGCACGAAGACAATATCATGTTCTTAAGAAGAGCATTACATAGGGTTCATTGTGATGCGTAATGCTACAAAACAATTACACGGAGGTGTTGGTTGGGTAAATTCATTGAGGGTGGTAACTCTTCTTTGTATAATAGCAGTCTTTCTTTTCTAAATACATGGTTGTTATCTGCAGGAGCGATTTGTTAAGCGAAGGCAGCGTCTATTAGGTCCCAATAACTCAACTCTGAAGGTATGCTTCTATATTAAAGAAAAATCTGCATCGATGCTCATGTAGGATGGTGGTTATCGATTCTCTATAAGATGCTACCTTCAGTCTTTGTTTAGAGGATTCGAGTAGGCTATTTTGTAAGAATTCAGAATTAGATCTCAGTTATTTTGAAATCTTTTTTTGATATTTGTTGTGAATCCTCTGTTGGGTTTAGGCTATGGAGCTTTTGACGGGTTGTTATGTTCTGGTTCAGGTTAGTAACTGCATCTTCTTCCTCTCCTCTGAGGTTACATGTTTATGATGGTTGTTTTTTTTCTTTTTCTCTTTGATTCATGCCTTAATTTAAGATACTTGCTCCACTATAGGAAGCTGGTTATAAAATATACTCCTGTTATGTTGCTGTTTAGGGAAACACTGTTGCAGCCATGGGTTCATTTAAGGGTCTTAAGCAAGTTCGGAAGATTGTGGAGGATTGCATCCACAATATACATCCCATATACCACATCAAGGTTCCATAGGCAACATACTTTAGCTGAATTTGTTAATAAACCGTTTATACAAGCAATGAATGCCTAGTATTAATGTGCTTTCCTTGTTTGTCCTTTTTCCCAAAAAGCAGACGCTCATGATTAAACGAGAACTTGCAAAAAACCCTGAGCTTGCAAATGAGAATTGGGACAGATTCCTCCCCAAGTTTAAGAAGTATGGAGCTGGCCATCTTGTTTGATTAGTTCTTTTTTTGTTTCTGGTTTTTCATTACCCTCTAGCGTTCATGTTTTCTGCGTGCTGATCCTTTCTGTTTCTGATGGTTTTTGTTATTTTCAGGAAGAATGTCAAGCAAAAAAAAGTGAAAGTTAAAGAGAAGAAACCATATACTCCTTTTCCTCCTCCTCAACAGCCTAGCAAGGTGAGTCAGAATGTGATACCTCTCATCTCTTTAATCTTGGAAATTCCATGGTTTCAATTCTGGTGAGTCCTGTCCCATTTCTGTTATAATGATGCCATTATTGTGATGCATATTTTATTTATCAACAGTTGAACTTAGTACCATGTAGGTTCAATAGTTGATTTTTCTTTGAGTTTGCTTCCAACCTCAAATTTCACTTCTATAACTAGTAAAAATAATCGCAAGTGACTTTAGTATTTTTTTTTTTGGGGTTATTCTACTATATACAGGTGGATCTCCAATTGGAAAGTGGTGAATATTTCTTGAGTGAGAAGAAGAAGTTTGCTAAGAAGTGGCAAGAGAAGCAGGAGAAGCAAGCAGAGAAAACAGCAGAAAACAAGAGAAAACGAGAGGCTGCGTTTGTTCCTCCTCAGGTTTGAAAGTGTTTTTTTTCAATAGTTAACTGCCAGACATTGCTGAGCTTTGATTGATTTCACTGTTTTAGACTTTCAAGATTCTATGCCTTACTGCTATGAATCATTGTCTTGTTAGGAACTTATTAACGCAACAAGCTCTGTGGATCAAACCAAATCCGCTGGACAAGATATGGATGACGTGTCTGCCATGGCAAAGTCCTTGAAGGTATTGAACATGGTTGTGGTTTTGTTTTTCTGTGTTTGTATCAAAATTCATAAATAGCCTTATTCCCTTTGCATCTTGTAATTGAGGAATTAAGGAAACATGGATACAGAAGAGAAATCAGATTCACACATTAAATGGATTGAATCCATCTGCCTTCGAGAACCTACCTGATTAAGCGTCAAGTTATAAATTTTATCTTGTGTCAACTTGACTTGCCTAGAACTCTTTTCTAGAACCTCCTTCCATGCATATTCAGCTCTTTCCTTCTGTGCTTTTATCTAACTTATCCAAAATGGTCATGTAATAAAGCACAACGAAATTTCATGATCTTTTCCCCCTATAGAAAAATGATACATATGGGTTCTTCATTTCACTGGCACAAGTCATAATTGCCTTCTCAATTTCATGGTGCATTCAATTTTTATTGTGTTTGACCATTTTGCTACATTATCATTTTGTGCATGTAGAGAATTGTTCCAACATGTTTTCTATGCTCAGGTTATATATTCATAACCTGCTTTTTCACCTCATGATTCTTGTCTGCGCAAGGGGCAAGCTTCATCCTTAACTTGAATAATGTTAAAGGCGCCTCTCTGTACTCTACTGGTGAGGCTCCTAAATATACTTCACATCCACACCTGAAAACTATCATCCCAAGTGTTATTGAGAAACAACAGCTGCTGGGATACTGAGGACTGAATGGATGCTAGCATACAAGTGGATGAGTAGTCTATAGAAGTCATGTTAATTTGGGTGATGTCAACCTTGTGGCCTACTTAGTAGCATCCTATTGTTCTTCCAATGTGTAGCACATCTCATGAGTTATTTAATCCATATTCAAAACCATAACAGTTAGTTTTCAGCATCTTACAGCTTAGTTTGTCTGCCAACTGTCCTCTCTAACAACTGGCTCATTTGGAAGGCATTTACTCCTTGCCAAGGTGATTTGGGTATGATCAGTGAGACATGCAAATCACCTGAATATATCTCATTTGGGATGCCTGCTGCAAGCCTCAACAAATTAGTAGTGACCCATCACAATTCAATTATTGGATTCAACTTCGCTAACCGATCCCCATCCTCGAGCAAAATAGCATTATCTGTTTATTTTTTGGTTAAATCACAGGGAAGGGGTTCCCTCCAAGTTTTCATTAGAATGGAAATATTAGTCATGAAGTTTGAGCTTCCCTTAGGATGGTGCAGTTAGATACGTTAGAGGAAAGAGAATCTGGAGGTCTATTTCTCGAAGCATTAATTAACATGGATCAACTCGTCTATTTCGCATCTTAGTTTTCTACAATTTGTGTCTTCTAGAATTTCTTAGCTCTTTGATTGGCTTGGTGAAACTAGTGATGCTACATACTCAACAGGGGGGAAGCACCTCTGAATGCTTGTCTCCGTTTACTTGATCATCTTAGAGGTGGCTGGTGATGCATGTTTGAGCATATACTGGCCATTTGGATAATAACAATCAGTTCTTATATCAGGCATGGGTTGCCTGGGGTGTTGAAAATCAAGTCGTAAGGTATTTTCGGAGGGAGAAAGAAAGGAAATAGAAATAGCCTCTAGCCCTGGTTTGTTAGAGCGGCAGGGTGTCACAAGAGTTCCATCCCTACCACTAAACTATAAAGAAAAAACGTTATTGTTCATAATTTTTCTCTTTGGAGACATCCGATAAAAGCGTATCTTCGTTCTAAGTAATGTGGCATTTGAGAGAGAGAGAGAGGTGCCTCAATTGGGACTGAACCTGCCAAATCAAAAAGCCTGATTGTGATGCCAGAGTCTGGACCGAACTTGAAGCCTGATTGCTTACTAAAGAATTTCTTAAAATCAACTTATGTGAAGGCGAGGCTTCTTCCCGGCCTGCTTTTTTCTCAGCCACACGCACAACACATTCATTTGTGTGTGTGTGTGTCACAGAGAGAGAGAGAGAGAGAGAGAGAGAGAGAGAGAGAGAGAGA